TTTTAAAAATTACCCTTTAACACTAGCGTTCTATATTCTTTTTCTATTCTATCTACTTTTGTTTTTATTTATTATAAAAAAATGACCCTCTAACACTAGTGTGTACTGAGTTAGACTAACAGTTTGATTGCTTCTATAATATGAACAGATAATAAATCTGTTTTTTCATTGTTAGTTCGTTTATTAATGATAAACTGATGTTATGTTAATCAGTACTTTTGTGTACAGTTCAAATATCTGAACGTCCTTAAAACAATTAAATTTAGCTAAGAAGCAAAACTGACATTAGTAGGACTTAAAAGCCGTGTCTTGAATATGTTTTTTAAAATATTTTTTCTTGTTCCATTGGCAGATTTTTCATTTGTCTTGTCAGTAAACCAGTATACTCTCAGACACACTGCTTTGCCTCGGCAGTCAACCTTCTAAGAAGATATTTTTAGCAGAAAGCATGTCCATGTTTACGAATACATGAAATGTATGAAATACACAATGTTTCTGCCAAAAAACAGAGCATCTATTGGATAATAATAGTGTTTATTTACATCCAGTGTTTTTGCTATATTTTGTCATCTTTTCATCTGATATTCCAGGAATTCATCAATTAAGGCATCTTTCATAATGTGAACTAATTGCTTTCACTTTTAGTTTTTCTATTTTTATATTAAAAGGGAGTTTGGTTTTATTTACACCTCTGGCTTCCATATGTAGGGCAAACATTTTCTGTGTTATTTTCCCCCATATTCTGTTATCTATATATTGTAAATGCATATAGACAATACTAAATATAATCTTTGTTATTTAATAAAAAAGTAAGTAGGATCAATATAAAAAATGATCATAATTTATTTTCATTGACAAAACATCTAGTTGTAAAATAACATACATCTAGTTCTTAAATTATATTTATATAATATCAAATTCTGTATTTCATATTCTATAATATTATTATACTATATTAATAAGTGACACAACATTTTTGAATGTATTAGTCTATCTAATGGCTGTGAAAGAGAGAAAGGTTCCACCTGTTGGTTCAACCTGAGCTTGTGATGTGCTGGTCAAACAGAAACTCAGCTGTGTTCTCTTCCTGTCTCTCTCTGCTTCCGTTTGCATATGTGTGGTGATAATGGAATAGCAGGCTGCACTCCACCCGTCTCCACCCCACTCAAACCAGTCCAGCTGACTATTGACACTCCAAACATTTCCATAGCCTGCCCGCATACGGAAACTCAGGAGGAAATACAGGGAGGAGGGAAAGAACAGGGCACCACAAACTAGCATCACTCTCTCATACAGTACACACTCACATACAGTATTTATATATAAATGCAATACATACACACACAAATATGACATATACTGTAAAGAAAGCTATAGTTCACATTGATTTATTTGTGAGATTCTTTCCATCCAGTGTGACTATTGTTGGTAAATGTGAACTAGACAGAAAGTCGAGCTCTTTTAAGTCTCAATGACAACTGTATAATCTCATGTGGCGTGGCAGTATGGCTTAGACCAGTGTTTCCCAACCTTTTTTTGTCTTATGTACCTTTTGACTTCTATAATTCTTGTTCTAATAAACTGTGTGGATCTTGGTAGTTTCAGTAAACACAGATCTGAATTCATGGATAACAATACCAGGATCGGTGTGTCATCTAATGCCACTTCTGTGAAATATTGACATTGTTCTCTGCATGCAGTTAACTGGCACCTATTATGTGTATGTGTGCATAGTTAAAGCTTGTCATGTGTCTCACTTGTGATGTAAAGCTAAGATTGTGTTGTGTATAGATTAGCATATAGATGAGTGTGCACTCAGTTAGGTGAAAGTCAAAGTTACTTTGTTAGAGCTTCAACTCCCTGTAAAAGTCAAGAAGTCTTCATTTTGCTGAGGCTATTAAATCAAAATTTGACCTGGTTTACTTTCTTAATACATGGTCTTATTGTGAATGATTTACATTGTCCCATTTGGTATACATCGCATTCATTCCATTATGTACAGTATCGAAAACAAATTCTAAAATTTGGGGTCAGTGAGATTTATTTTTGTTATTGGAAAGTATTTAATACTTTCATTCAGCAAGGACACACTGAAAAAAATGTTTCATTCATCCAATTATCATCCCTTAGGGCAAGTTATTTATTTTTCATTGGCTCAAGTTAAAAAATATAGATGTGAATCATTACCCTCATTTTTTTTAATTGGATGAATGAAACATTTTTTTCAGTGCACATTAGATTTATCAAAAGTGATAGTAAAGTCATACTGTATTAAGCAGCACAAATGTTTTCAATGATAATAATAAGAATGCTTCTTGAGCACCAAATCAGCATATTAGAATGATTTATGAAGGACACTGAAGACTGGAGTACTGGCTGCTGAAAAATCAACGTTGCCATCACAGGAATAAATTGCATTTTAAAATATACAGTTATTTTAAACTGTGATAGTATTTCACAATATTACTGTTTAACTGCATTTTACCTGCTTGGTGAACATAAGAGACTTTAAAAAAAATACCAACTCCATATTTTTAAATGGTGTGTACAGTTCATTATCCCAAAGGCAAAAAATATGTATCTGCTTTCATCAAAATGTAGCAACCAAGTCCATCTCTGAAACGAATTATTTTCTTTTGAGTGACTTAACGAGGGCCACGTGGGATGTTTTATAAGATTAACAAAAGCCAAATAGCTATTTAGGTAGCGTTTTAGGACAGATTATCAACTGTTTTTGCATCAGGATCTAAATTTTACATTCACCATCAACACAACACAATAACAAACATAAACTGTATTTAATGTAGTAACTGTTTTCTTCAGGGGTTTTTGGGACAAGCAAACGGTCTATGTTGGTTTCTGCATAATTTGACTAGTTTCTTCCAAGTGACATTCATTTGTAGCAAATAGAGTAGCATAGAGTTTGAATGAACACATGGCCTTTAAAGGGTTACTCTACCTAAAAATGAAAATACAATTATTATTTACTGACTCTCATGCTGTCCAAAATGTGTATGACTTTCTTTCTTTAGATGAAAAGAAAAAGATTTTTAGAAAAATAATCCATCTCTTTAAAGCCCTTCCGGAATTCACCCGAGGGGGACACCCCCTGCCCCCTGAACGCAGTCTCTACGACCCCACATATGACATGAATCGACATCTTCTGATGTGAAATGATAGGTTTATGTAAGAAAAACACATATTTTTTAAAATTTTTAACTATAAACTAGAGCCCGACCGATATATCGTTTTGCCAATATTATCGGCCGATATGAGCCTGTCGCCGATATATCGGTATCGGCGAATATGCTGCCGATATGACATTTTTTTTTACAGAACATATAACGCAGATAAAATGCTTGAAATGGTGTAATTACTTAGTTTGTCCAGCAGAGCGAGCTCCATTGTTTGCTAGCAACTGGCGGCCTGGATGAAACGCTTTAAAGCTTAATTCTATGGAAAACCATTGAAACTTTGAACGGCCATATCTCCGTAACGGCGCGGCAAATCCGCACTGCGAGATAGTGACACCAGTCAACACTTTCACTTCAGTTAGGAGGTCTCTTGTTGAGGCAGCAGCATTCAAGCGTTGTCTTATTCGACCGTAAGTGCCCTGCAAAGTGGACTTCACATGAAATTCCGCCATGATTCCAGTTCCAAGGGAACATACATGTTACATTCAAAGGGCATTAAAGTGCGCGAGACATGACTTTATATTGTATTTATTTACAGAGGTATATTATGTCACACTTCACACTTCTCTAGTAAGTTTCGTCTGTGTGTGAAGACAGTAGCGCAAATCTGTGAATGAATGTTCCAAAGTGAAATAAACTTCAACGGAATAAAGTTGAATGGAATTGAATTGAATTAAAGTTGAATAAACTTCAACTTTACTGTTCATTGCACTGATGTCAGACTCATTTTGGATAATAAAGTTTATTGTTAAATTGTTAAATGCACTGCCTCCATTACATATCTCTGTAACGTCATTATAAGTGTTTCATCACCACATTTGAGTGATCATTGCAAAAAATGTGTTTATGTATATATATTCTGTTTATGTATATACTGTATTCTATATATAGTACCAGTCAAATGTTTGGACACACGAATGGGAAAGTATCCAAACTTTTGACTGGTACTGTACTATAATATACACAAAGAATATCGGCCGATATATCGATATCGACCTTTTTTTACTCCCTAATATCGGTATCGGCCCAAAAAAACCCATATCGGTCGGGCTCTACTATAAACCATCACTTCCGTCCAACTGTCACTTGCAAGTTTCACAATGTGCTGCTGTTTACATCAAGCCTGAATGCATAAATTGTAAACTCTTTAAAAGCCTTTTCAAAGCTTCTTTAAAAGTGGGTAACAGTGGTGTTTCAGGAGGATAGCATTCCAATTGAACTCCATTATGGTGTAGTACTGTCACTTATCATGATTCAATTGATTTCTGATGCATACAAGCAAATCCCGCCCTAGATTTTGTTCCCGTTGAGCATCCTGTTTCACTCAGAAATACGTCACAGATGGAAGTAAAATGAGTTGCGAATACTAATTCATTTTGCAAAACTTAGGAGAATAGCAATGCGTAAATGAATAATAGTCAATATTATAAAGTCTAAAAAATTTATTTGATATTCTGATCTAAGTAGATGTAGATGTAGTTTTGTTTTTGTGAGGTGTCACTGTATACACAAGTACTGCACTGGTTCTCACATTGTATCACTGTCATATGACTCAAACGTGTTATGTTTGCACTTCAGTTTTATCTTAAGTGCAAATCAAGGATATTGTTTGCCATCTTTGTGTAAAGCTTCTGTGTGCCAAATAATCTGGTTTGACTTCTGATGAGCACCACTGAGACTAATCACTGGATATTACAATGCAGAAGTTGTTATTGTTTCCACTGTTAAGAGCCAAAATTCACTCCATTTATCTCCAACCCACTTTGGCTTCATATTTCTCTGTTCTTCATTTCACTCCTCCCTCAGTTCTGATTCTGGAGCCTGTGGAGAGAGATGTCCTGAGCGGGAAGACTCTGAAGATCACAGACTTCGGCCTTGCTCGGGAATGGCATCGCACCACGAAGATGAGCGCAGCGGGCACGTATGCCTGGATGGCTCCAGAGGTCATCAAGCTGTCCCTGTTCTCCAAAAGCAGCGATGTTTGGAGGTGAGCTTCCGTCCTACTCTGGACTATCTTTTGCGGCCTAACTAGAGGTTTTGTGGCTGATTATGGTCTTTTTTGTGTCAGTTTTGGAGTGTTACTCTGGGAGCTGCTGACTGGTGAGGTGCCATACCGTGAAATCGATGCTTTGGCTGTGGCCTATGGAGTTGCTATGAACAAGCTGACCCTTCCCATCCCCTCCACCTGCCCTGAGGCCTTTGCACAGCTGCTGGGAGGTAAGAACAGTTACGGTTGAACCACATGAAACATTGACCTGTGAGATGTCCACTCTTTACATCAGATCATTATTCATCTGTCTCTCTCTCTCTCTCTCTCTTCTGTAGAGTGTTGGTGTCCTAACCCACATGGACGTCCTTCTTTTGGGAGTATCTTGAAAAGGCTGGTGGACATTGAGCAATCAGCCATGTTCCAGATGCCCCTCGAGTCTTTCCATTCCCTGCAGGAAGACTGGAGGCTGGAGATTCAGCAGATGTTTGATGAACTACGAGCAAAAGAGAAGGTTAGGACCATAAATTTGTTTAATAAGGAGGAAGTACGAGAGGCATGTGGTGAACTTCTGAAATATTTTCATATTTATAGATTCAGTTGATATTTAAACCATTTGCACAATGAATATGGATAACCATTTACCCTATATTGTCAACCAGTACTATAATACCATATAATTTACACATTTAACCATATGAATAATATTATAATTTATATTAATATACTATAAAACCCAGTCACATTGAAGTCTTGTAAATTTAGTTTTTAAACATTTTTAAAATTTCTAATAAAATAACTTCAATAATACAGTAACTTTTTTTCCTAAATGTTTGCTTCTGTACTGCCACTTAGCAGCCAATACCAAATAAATTATCATTTTAAATGATCATTTTCTAAATTTAAAAAGAATAATAAAATAAATACAAATACAAAATTACTATATTAGTTGTTTTATAAAGTATACTAGATTTGAAAAGTTTAGGGTTGGTAGGATGTTTAAATGTTTTCTCTTTTGCTTGCCAGAGGCTACATTTATTTGATCAAGATACAGTAAAAACAGTAATATTTTCAAAATATTATGACAGCTTTAACTGTTGAAAATTTAGTTTGTTGAAAGTAATATGTGAAAATTACATGATCTTTCAGAAATCATTCTAAAATGCTGATTTGGTGCCCAAGAAAAAGTTCTTATAATTATCAATGTTTGTTTTTCTCAGTATTATTTGATGAATAGAAAGTTCAAAAGACCAGCATTTATTTGAAATTTGAAGACATGTTTTAAACAGTGTAAAATTTTTTACTATCACCTTTGATCAATTTAATGCATCCTTGCTGAATAAAATAAAATAAAAAAATCTTACCGACCCCAAACATTTGAACTGTACTGTACATTTCCCTGTAGATATTTTATAAATGTAGGAACTAATAAAGAGTACAGATTAGATGGTTAAGACTACAGTGTATGTTTACACACAAGTATTGTGAGCCAATATACAAATAGAGAGCCTAATGTGTAGGAAAATCTAATCATCTACGCTTAGGGAAATTACACTAGCAACAATATTATAAGCAATAACTTGTAGGCTCAGTGGAATAGCGGTCTAAATAATCGCCTGTTCATTAGGAGTTACGATCCTGGGAGGAAGCTCTGGCGCGGGCAGCTGAGGAGCAGAGGGAGCAAGAGGAGCATCTGAGGAGGCGTGAGCAGGAGTTAGCCGAGAGGGAGATTGACATCGTGGAGAGAGAGCTCAACATCATCATCCATCAGATGTATCAAGAGAAACCACGAGTGAAAAAACGCAAAGGCCACTTCAAAAAGAGCAGACTGCTCAAACTTGGCAGAGACAGCAACTGCATCAGTCTGCCATCTGGTGGGTGGAATGAGAATATACATTACCGGACAAAAGTTTGGAATAATTATGATTGTTTAATGTTGTTCTTCTGAAGCTGCATTTATATGTCTGTGGTGCGATTTGAATACAGTCAAAACAGTAACATTGTGAAATTTAATTACAATTTAAAATAACTTTAGTCTATTTTAATATATTTTATGATGTAATTTATTCCTGTGATGGCAATGCTGAGTTTTCAGCAGCCATTACTCCAGTCTTCAGTGTCACATGATCCTTCAGAAATCTTTCTGATAAGCCGATTTGCTGCTCAAGAAACATTTTTATTATATCTGCTGCTTAATATTTTGTGGAAACTAATCAATCAACGCTTCAACTCAGCAAGTATGCATTTTAATTGATCAAAAGTGACAGTAAAGACGTTTAATGTTACAAAAGATTTTATTTCAAATAAATGCTGCTTTTTATTTTCTATTTATCAAAGAATATTAAGCAGCATTGATAATAATAAGAACCATTATTAATAATTGAGAGCCAATAATAACTGATAATAATTGAGTGCCAAATCAGCATATTAGAATGATTTCTGAAGGATCATGTGACACTGAAGACTGGAGTAATGGCTGCTGAAAATTCAGCTTTGCCATCACAGAAATAAATTACATCATAAAATATATTGCAATAGAAAACAGTTATTTTAAATTGTATTTCAATTTCACAATATTACTGTTTTTACTGTATTCAAATCACAATAATAATAATATTTCACAATATTGCTGTACATTTATATTCAAAGGAATTTCCCCCCCAATCAAATTAGTGTTATTGTCCAGTAAAACCATTTTTTATCATACATTGGGAATGAAAACTGTATGTTTTAGGTTTTGAACATAAGATCACAGTGCAAGCATCACCCAGTGTGGACAAGAGGAAAGGTCAGGGTAGTGAAAGCACCACTCCTCCAGCCAGCCCAGGGGTCATCCCTCGCCTCAGAGCCATACGCCGTAAGTCAATGCCTGAATGTTTTGGTTTTATATAAGAGAATAAACAAGGACCAGAGTACATTGCTGGAGTAGTACATACTGATGTGTGCCTGCACTGCCATGTGCCAACAATCAATACCACTTAAAAGAGTTGAATGTGTCTGTGAAGTGCATTGAGACTGTCTTAGCTTACATACTTGTGTTTCTATGTAATCCTTACTTTATGTTGAGTTAGGTAGCAATATGTAGTATGCTAAAGCAAAGATAATATTGAATATTTTCTGAAATGTGTTTGGATTGCTGTGTGGTCTAGTGACGCCCAGTGATGGAAGGAAGACATGGGGCCGGACGGCAGTGTGTAAGAAAGAGGATCTAGGGACCAAGAAGAAGGGCCGAACATGGGGGCCCAGCTCCACACATCAGCGCGAGAGAGTCGGTGGAGAGGACAGGTAGACCAAAAAATATACATTTAAAAGAGTTGTATTACTTTTTCTTTTTTTATATTGCATTTTTTTATGTAATTTAATTTTATTATTTCTTTAGAAGTCCACTTATGTTTTTTAATGATTTATTATTATTATTTTTAAGTAAATAATTGTCTTACAACATTTTGTATAGGGGGAGAGTGGGGTAAGATGAGCCAGTGGGTAAGTTGACCCACCCCCTGTATCTTGCCAACTGTAGACTTGTAGTCATGTGACCATATATTTTGAAACCACCCATAATTTCTGCCAGACTGAAAAGAAAGAAAAGAAGAAACACACGGGAGGAGTGGAAGGCACCCAATTACTTTAAAAACTGTTTTTGGCTTGTCAAAGTAAAATTTTAGCATAACAGATGTAATGGCTGTTACATCAAAGTAAATTTATACAGGTCTAAAAATATTTATGATGCATATAAGTGATTTAGCAATGTATAAAACCGCGTTGCACAAATTCGAACATCTGGGTTGTGCTGTTCTGTTGTAACAGAACTTAACCAATGATTCCTAATTGCATCTACTTCTGGAAGGCCAAATAAAGTGCTTTTGCTTTCGCACTGAAACACAGCGTCTCCCTGACATGGCTGCATCAACACTACTGCTGTTCCTGAAACCACGCCTTCTTTCTTTGCGTGCACATTTGGGCGGCATTATGTTAATATTTCCACATCGTGACGTAGACATGTGGGGGCGTGTTAGAATGAGCCATTTTAGGTAGGCGTGGTTGACTCTTAACTTTTATAAAGAATATCTCTTTGAATTTGAGACTTTAGTCTTAGCAACTTTACAGATCTTCTTTATGCACCAAGAGCTTGTAACACTCCAAAGAGAAAGGAAAACTTGAAATCGCATCATATGACCCCTTTAAGAAAAGAATTAAGACTGTTTGAAAAAGGAAATTTAATTATTAAATTAGTTTTTAAAAGAGGTAAATTATCTTTCAAATTTAACATGGGTTTGAACCAGATTCAGTCAGATGGTCAGTTTACAACCAGATGGTTCATCTTACTCATTGACTTGGGTCAACTTACCCCCACCCTGGGGCAAACTGAGCCACAGGAACACTTTTTTATAAGAAGCCATATTTTTAGAACCCTTTGTCATAGATACATTCTGATCATTTGAAATGATAGGAAACATCCTGAAGTTACTTTAGATACTTTACCTTATCTTGAGGACCACATAAGTAAAAAGTGTCTCATCTTACCCCACTCTCCCCATTTTTTAATGATCTCATTATGATTGGTTGGGCCTAGTTTCTAAACACTGAAGACAATTATAAGCAAATTTAAAGTTAAATTATTCAGATTTGCAGAAGTATGTATACATATATATATATACATATACATACATATATATATATATATATATATATATATATATATGTGTGTGTGTGTGTGTGTGTGTGTGTGTGTGTGTGTGTGTGTGTGTGTGTGTGTGTGTGTGTGTGGATTCTCAAGCCTAAATGAAATGGGTGAGTCTGAATCACATGCTTATAGACACACAGTATAATGAACCTGCCTCAGATTGGAACATTATGACCCGACACAGTACATCAAACAGATTAATACTGATATCGACTGAAATTATAGGAAGTTTACGATCTGTTTCTCTTCATTCATTATTAATTCACTACCTCTTTTTTCTGTGTAGAGGAGCACTGTGAGTTTGATGACAGTTCCCCAGGACGCCTGGCTCCTGACCTGGGCAGTAATGGAGCGATGGAGGAGGTGGGTTTAGGATCAGCGAGTACAGGGCCGGGAATAGGCTCACAGGATTCAGTTCGGCGCTGCAGCCAGAGGAAAAAGAGTGACCTTCTGCTGCTGGGCTGTGCCTCCGTACTGGCCGCTGTGGGCCTTGGTTCTGACATCTTCCAGCTGGGACGACCACAGGTACACATCATGAGAGACTGAGAAAGTGGAAAAGAAAGTAAGGAACATAAGAAAAGAGGCTTAATAGGAGTGTTGATAGTAGTGTTTTTTCAGTGCATTTTTAATGAATGTATTTTCATAAACAAGACTACAAATAATGATTATTACTATGTAATTATTATACATGTAACAATTAATTGTAATACTTATGTGAATTAATATTTGTAATTTAATATTGAAATAAATAGTTTCACAATAAATATAATCATTACATATTAAAGGCACAATATGTAAGATTTTTTTATTAAAATATCCAAAAACCACTAGAACAGTGTTATATATTTTGCTGACTTGTGTACTTACATTATCCCAAATGTTTCGAAGAATGTTTAAAGGGGTCATATGATGTTGCTAAAAAGAACATTATTTGGTGTGTTTGGTGTAATGAAATGTGTTTATGCGGTTTAAGGTTCAAAAAACACATTATTTTCCACATTCTGTACATTATTGTTTCTCCTCTATGCCCCGCCTTTCTGAAACGCGTCGATTTTTACAAAGCTCATCGGTCTGAAAAGCGAGGTGTGCTGTGATTGGCCAGCTATCCAGTACGTTGTGATTGGCCGGAGCGTAACATAAAAACCATGTCTGCATTTGTGATCGGAGAAATGACAAACAACAAGTGCTACTAGGCTGAGTGAGAGGAGGCCGGTGAGCTTGAGAACTGCACGGCGGGCGGGCTATTAGACCGGTGACGACCGCACAGAGTAGCATTATAACAGAACTTTCAAATGTATCTAGTATGATAAAACAGCGCTGCTTTTTTCCCCACATACACACGACTGGAAGGAGCGGAAGCGGTCGACTGTGGCATAATAAAAGCTCCGCTGCTTTCGAGCCGTGTGTTGCGCTCGTTCAGCGGCCTCGTTTCGCTTCGACAGCTTTCAGCCTCACCCTGCTTCATTCTACTACGTTAATAAATCATTAGCTCATCTATGAACATGATTTCTGCCCGAGTCCCGTCGGATTGCTTCGGCTGTGGGGATGAAGACGACAACTCCCATGATTCCACACTCAGTCACGGCGTCATCAAACTACGCCTTTGTCTATTTGTTTATTTTGAATATGCGCCCTCTAGTGGCGAAAATTACATATTTTGCCTTTAAGTAATTATTAAATCATTTGAATTATTTGGGCAACCATATGTGAGTAACTACATTTTTATATACTACTACTACTTTAATATTTCCTTTCTTTAAAATGAGTGAATGTTACAAAATAAAAGTGAATGTTACAAAAACATGTTCAGCACCACAAATTAAAATTGAATATTTATTTTGCATATAGAAAATATTTTTTAACACCACTAAAATTTGTTCTTTTGATTTTTTGGTAGTAATTCTCATTAGATTTATTGCTATATATTATATTATTGTTTGACCTTATTGTTGAACTAATGTGACATTATTCATTCATATGTGTTCAGATGAGTCAAGATGAGCAGGACCCGCGAGAGGAGCAGAAAAAGAAGAAGGAGGGTTTGTTCCAGCGCACGGGCCGATTTAGACGCAGCACCTCTCCACCCAGCCGCACACTGTCACTCTCCCTGTCCCACAACCGCCATCACGACCCCATCCTGCCCAGCATGGACCCATCTCCTTCCGTTACCCTCCTCTCTTTGTCCTCCCTCTCTGACTGCAACTCCACCAAGTCCCTGTTGCCCTCTGATCCTGATGACTTTGCCCCGACCCCTAGTAGTGCTCACCCGGTGGTCTCTCCTGCGCCATCATTAAACCCTCTGTTAGACCTGAGAGCAGAGAGCTTCAAACGAGAGCCCAATCAGTCCCTCACACCCACCCACGTCTCTGCAACTATGGCATTAAACCGTGGGCACCGCCGCACGCCCTCTGATGGGGCCATCCGTCCTCGAGCACAGTCGGTCGTGGGGCATCGACGCACCCCCTCTGATGGGAGCATGCCCTTCCCCCCTGCATCAGCCCCGACCATTACACCATATACAGGTACAACATTTTACTTTAAATACTAGCTATGTGTTATTGGGTGAATCTCTGTCAAAACATTTACATTAACATTTAATTGTAAAATTACATGTTTTATTTTGCATAAAGTATAACAGTTACTTCCATGATGTGTAAGTACTATGCAAAAATTATAAAATATTATATAAAATATTTACTTTATTTTTTTCTTTAGAGGAATGTGTACATAAAGACTATTTTAGAACCAATTTTAGATTTGGTTTTGAACTTCAGATTTATTTGAACTTCTTTTGTAATTCCCATTAATCTTATACATATATATATATACTGTATGTATATAAAAACTGCTCATGTTGCATGTATATATTGTTTGGATCATGATTAAAATGCAGTGGTTGTCTCATTTTAAATGGAAAATTATTTTGTGTATATGAAGAGATTTATTTTATTTGTGTTACTTATTTATTTGATTTGGGGCTTGTTTTAAAATTTCAGTGTAGTTTTGTTATTTACATTTACATTATATTTAAATTTTGTCATTTAGCAGACGCTTTTGTCCAAAGCGACTTACAAATGAGGACAATAGAAGCAATCAAAACCAACAAAAGAGCA